CTCTGCTATTACAGTATATTATAAATAAATAAAGAAACAAATAAATCAGTAAATCCATTTCAAGTAAATGGAAAAATTTTACTCGACACCGACATTAGTTCCAGTTAAATAACAGAAGCTTAAGTGACATCACTAGTGTTTACACTACACCAGCCGGGAACATTTGATGCCATTACTTGAAGTGAATTGGGCTTATTTTAAATAACCAAGGATGTGTAAACAGCACTGGTCAATGGGATGGTTGGTAAAGGACTACTGGGTCAGTAAGCTCCTAATGGTAAGTGTCACATTTGGGGTAGTCTTATACAGCGAATTGAGCTCAAAACCTACTTTTTTAAATGTAAATTTTGGGGGTCGTCTTATACACCCTGTAGGCCGAGTTATACGGGTAACTGGGTTTGAGAAAGTCGTCGTGTTACCCAGAAATCTCTCATCACCGGAAGTGCTCTGCCCCAATTGTTCTGGCTACGGGGATATCACTTATAAGTTAAGATGTTGTCAAATGACTCTCGTGCAACATACAACTTAACGTTAGGCATTTTCTCACACACGACTCCTCTCCACGTTGTCTTCCTCTTTGTTAACAATGCGGACAGCATCAGTAATCTCCTCAGCCGAAAGCATCTGGTAACCTGGATCACCCTCATTCTCCTCCAACCACGTACATTCCCCTCTTGTGTCATTCACAACATCATCTTCATTCTCCAGCAGTGCCAGTACTTCATCCAGGTGCCTCCTCTAGTACAGCCTCTTGCATGACACAATAACTCCCTGGTCCATAGGCTGAATAATGGACGTAGTGTTGGGCGCCAGAAACAGGGCACGAATTTTACCATCACTGCTGACCAGTTTGCAGCACTAGAATGAGCTAGCGCATTATTAAGCAGCAGAATTGCTTTGACGTCTTCAAAATCCAGCTTCATAACCTCTTCTCGGTATTTGCGTACTTCAGGGATGAAGTGCTTTAAAAACCAGTCATTGAAGATCTCACGATTAAACCATGCATTTTTGGAATGGTAGTAGATAACCGGCAACTGGCGCATACAATCTTTTAGCACTCGTGGGCGCATAGACTTGCCAACGACAGCTAACTTTAAGCTGTGCATACCATTAGCATTAGCACAGCATAATGCAGAAATGTACTCCTTACTCACTATGTGGCCTGGTGTGGATGCTTCATGATTAAAGGCGTGGGTGGTTTGGGGAGTGACTACCAAAATAACCCTGTCTTATCAGCATTATAAACTTGTGCCATAAGGTAAAAAGTTTAAAGAAAAAATATGCACAGGAGTCAGTGCGGGGAAAGGGAGATTTCTTAGCTGTTCTGTCTTGTGTTCCACGTGTAGTGAAAATTGCCAAATGGTAATGCAATATATTTTATTTAATTTTCTTAATTAATATTATTTTTATGAAGTAAGTATTTGCACATTTAAGTGAAAATAACACCCTATGTCAAATCCCTTCCCTGCCTGATCCACTTACTAATTATGTAACAGAATAATGGAAAATTTAACTTGAACTGCAAAAATCCACATACTGTACTGTGCTGATGAGGATTTTTTGGTGAAGAGGATAAAGTAATGTAAAGACAGGTGCATGGATCTCAATACTCACCCAAAGATTCTCCCCGACACTACCCAGGGATATTCTTCAGGTTACAGTGAACCTCAGTACTGTAGTCATGTAAAGATTGCCCCCCCCCCTTCATATACGACCTGAAGTTTAACCACCCCGATGTTATCTGGGGGTATTTTTCAGTGGACAATGGACCATGTACCACCTGGAGGTCATTGCACATTTTTTACTATGAAATGTGCAGATACTGTATCGCGTGCATAATTTACACTAAAGTGTGCAAATACCAAGAATGTTATTTGAGCTATAAGTGTGCATATCCTCATAATTTGTGTTTTTATTTGCATATTGTAATAAATACTTATATTATTACCGTACAGGTTGACAACCCTTTATCCGAAATTCCGAAAACCGAAAAGCTCTGAAAACCGAAAGTTTTTGTGGAGCTTTTTTTTTTCAGGGATTAGCCCACCCAGGCATAGATCACTGACCCACATCGGGGCCTGGGGGGCGAAAATGTAATAGTAATACTAATTATAATAATAATAATAATAATAATAATAATAATAATAATAATTATGATAATAGTACCTGTAATTATTCATAGTAAATAAATATTTTAATTAAAAAATACACCACAATAAAATAATACAGTATTACCCCGCCTAACGCGGTTTCACTTAACGCGTTTTATCATATACGCGGTGCCTCGCCAGAGCTGAACTTTCACTTAACACGGATTTTTTCCACATATACGCGGTGAGTGTCCGGCTCCAGACGCTATTTTTAGATTTGCCCCACCCCCACCCTGCCTGACTGCCTGTTTTAGCTCATAAAATTCATACAAATTACCCGGCCAGAATATAATTTACATTGCTGGAATTCTTATAATTTGGTGATCATTTTGAATATAAACATCATATATTTTGCATTAGACATACAAATTTTAGATAAAATGTTTACTCTTGAGTAAATATGTTATCTTTTGTGCAAAATATATGACATTTATATTCAAAATATTCCTGGTCTTACAAGGAATCCAGCAATGTCAATTATATTATCCTAACTTTAGTTTGAGGTATTATTTATTACAAAAAAGTTAAGTATTCTGGTTTTCCCACACATCTCCTTGGGACGGTTGGTGGGGGGTGGGGGGGAGGGAGGGACCGACCGACCATCTGTTACCCTGTGAAGAATATTTTTTTTTTTTATTAACTGAAGATATTTGTTTTAGCTCATAAAATTCATACAAATTACCCGGTCAGAATATAATTTACATTGCTGGAATTCTTATAATTTGATGATCATTTTGAATATAAACATCATATATTTTGCATTAGACATACAAATTTTAGATAAAATGTTTACTCTTGAGTAAATATGTTATCTTTTGTGCAAAATATATGACATTTATATTCAAAATATTCCTGGTCTTACAAGGAATCCAGCAATGTCAATTATATTATCCTAACTTTAATCTGAGGTATTATTTAATACAAAATGTTAAAATTTATTTTTTTCACCCACTCTTCTCTTGAAGGGAGGAGTGGTGGGGAGTGGGGGGGAGGGTTGGGACTGACCGCGCGGTTGGAAGAGGGGGGGGGCAAGGTGGGGTACTTTGATTGACAGATAGTGTCTGAAGAATATTTTTTTTTTTATTAACTGAAGATATTTGTTTTAGCTCATAAAATTCATACAAATTATCCGGCCAGAATATAATTTACATTGCTGGAATTCTTATAATTTGGTGATCATTTTGAATATAAACATCATATATTTTGCATTAGACATACAAATTTTAGATAAAATGTTTACTCTTGAGTAAATATGTTATCTTTTGTGCAAAATATATGACATTTATATTGAAAATATTCCTGGTCTTACAAGGAATCCAGCAATGTCAATTGTATTATCCTAACTTTAGTTTGAGGTATTATTTATTAAAATTTAGTGGTTTTCCCCCAAAAATTTCTCAGAGAGGGAAGAGCCAGCAGTGTAGTGTGAGAAGAGGGGGAGGGAGTTGAGGCCATTATTTGAATGGACATTACCTTGGCGACTGTATTTCTCTATTTCTCTTAAGTATTAATTGTGTGCATGTACCATCATAAAATTAAGATGTTATTTTTACTACAACATAGTTATGTCTTCAAAAAGTGGAGTTTGGGGGTCGGGCTGGCTTCTATTGGAATTAATCCCATATGTTCTGTTGTTCACTTAACGCGGATTTCACTTTACGCGGGACCCTCTGGGTTCTATTGACCGCGTTAAGTGGGGTACAACTGTAATGATAACAATAATACTGTATTAATAAAATAATAATAATAATAACAATAATAATAATAATAATAATAATAATAATAATAAAGAAATACAAGAATGAAAAAAAGATAAAAAGTAACATGACCTAGACCTATGAATTATTATTATTACCTGTATTATTATTATTATTATTATTATTATTATTATTATTATTATTATTATTATTATTATTATTATAATTATTATTATATTCTTGCCCCCCAGGCCCCAATGTGGGTTAGTGACTTGTGCCCGGATGGGCTCACACACACACGCACATGCACACGCACACGCACATGCACACGCACACGCACACACACACGCACACACACACACACACACACACACACTATTCTGAAAACCGAAAAAATCCGAAATGCCTCTGGTCCCAAGGATTTCGGATAAGGGATTGTCAACCTGTACTGGCAAAATAGCCCAAAACAGCCTGTCAGGCTATCTTGCCGTGACTGGTACTTTAGCCACTGCCTTTTTAATATTGTACAATTATTTTTATCTTGATAACACAACCAGAGGGTTGAAGACTATGAGTTTAGCAAAAATTTTCAGAATCTCCTCTAGCATCCAAACCCATGAGTGCTATTGTGCTGTTTTTTTTTTTTTTTGTATCATTCCTCTTCCATACATTATGAAAATTGGTCCTATAGGCCAAAAGGCCTGTAAGGGCACTGTGGACAGATCACATACACTGTATTAAGTGTTTGGTACTCAAGAGGGTACTGTGTCCAGACCTGCATATGACACTATGACAGCCTTCACAGCTAGGTGTGAGCCAGTGATCCTTAGGGCAGGAGGCTATCTGCTTGGCTACTGCATCCATCCATATATCGTATTGTTTTGACTTTAGTATCAGGGAGGAGTCATCAAGTTAGCACCATCATGTTGAGTTTAATGAAAGTATCACTGAAGGTAAGAGCACTGTATTGAATAGAGTAATTTATAATTGTTAAAGGCAAGAAGAGAAATAAAGGCAATGATTATGGTTTGTAGGTTAAAGAGTATACAGTACAAGAGGATTTCTTTAATTAGCAAATATAATCTTTCTTTAGTAAACTAGGCAAAAAATAATTAAGAATTTGGGTGACTGAATGCAATGTTAAGAATTACCATATGTACAATATTATTTTCCAGCTAGTGAACAATATGATGACCCAGAGCAGTGGGCCCAATGTGTCAGGGAATAACCCACCTCACATGGTTGTCCCAGGAGGCTCCGGGATGCAACAATTACCCACAAATCCAGGTAAATTTAGTAAAACAGAATGTTCAAATGTCAGCAATTTATATATTAATATAATCACATGCATGCACTCCCACACATATTTGTACAACTAATGCTATTAACCGATTCATAATTTTTATTTTATTTCTACTGTCTCAAGGATAATAAGGCTGCTTATGGGTAACAGTTACACCACCTGACAGGATGTGCCAGATGCATTGAATTTTAATGTTGTCTATGTTGAAAGGAAATGTGTTTGAGGTACAGTACCTATTTCAAAAAGGTTCTGTGGAACCCTTTCATAATACAGTGGTCCCTCGATTAACGAAATTTCGGTTAATGAATTAGCTCCCATAAGGATTTTCAGTTCGATTAACGAACGAAACTTCGATTAACGAAATCCTTACGACAAACACGTTTTGTTGTGCGCATCAGCTGATCGGCTAGTCCGCCAATACAGTAGTACAGGGTAATTGGTTCTATGTTTACATTCGTTTTCAGTTAAATAAATATTAAGAAAGTTGGTCTCTTGAATATTTCTGCATTTTTTATATTAAAATTATTGGTAATTCTGAAATTTAGTTAACATATTGATAATATAGACAGTACAGGGAACAGTTTGTGTGCACCCATCATCTGATTGAATCACCCAACAACCCTTCTCAGTTTAACGTTGTTTACAGTGGAGTGAACATTGATTTTGTTGGTCTCTTGAATATTTTTGCATTTTTGCATTAAAATTATTGGTCATTCTGAAATTTAGTTAACATATTGATAATATACAGTGCAGAAATTATTATGAAACATGAAGAAGGCATTAGAACCAATGCACTCTCTAAAGAATATGGCATGTCATCATCGACCTCTACAATCAGCTGTTTGATATGTAAAAGCTGCCGGTAATACGACATAGACACCTCAAAGTGAGTTAAAATATAGTATTCTGTTGTTTTTTATTTAGTATTGTACAGTATACAGTCGACCCTCATTAAAGCGGACTAATAGGGGGGGAAGGGTGTCCGTTTTAGCCGATTGTCCGAATTAACCGATTTAGGGGTTAATATTGCATAATATTGCATTATACAGCTATGTGTATGTTTATTTGAGTGCCCCGTCATAGGAGTCCGTTTTCTCTCACTTCAGGACGCCTGAGTCATCCGTTTTCTCTTAATCTTATGAGTGCACCAGAGACTGTTATTCCTTAGTAGTGACACAGAATTTGATATTGTAACTGGGGTTGCAATTGTTGAGGCAACTTAGGTATGTCTGATTACAGTTGGAATATTCAAGATTCATTGTGAGTGATGTTTAAAGCTTCAACTGTCTTTATGGTTGGTAAAACTTGTCAAGTCTGTCAGTCTGAGTGGCATGTGTGAGGCCTTGTGTTTGTACAACCGCTAAATATATAAATATATAATATTATGGTAATTATCAGAAACACAAATAGGCATGTCTAGGTTTATTACAAAGTGATGAAAAGGATACTGTACAATGGGTAGTCCACAAAACATGTAGCCTTGTCTCTTTATTTGAGTGCCCCATCAAAGGAGTCCGTTTTCTCTCACTTCAGGACGCCTGAATCGTCCGTTTTCTCTTAATCTTAAGAGTGCACCAGAGACTTCTTTATTCCTTAGAAGTGACACAGAATTTGAAATTGCAACCCCAATTGCAACTGGGACAATCCCAGAACCAGAAATTTGATACGGACAGTTCAGATTTCGTCCGATTTATCCGAAATCCGGATTAAAGGGGTCCGAATTAACAAGGGTCGACTGTACTGTACAGTACAGTACAGCAATACCCTGCTTTACGCGGTTCTGGTTTACGCGTTTCTACATTTACGCGGTACCCTGCCAGAACCGGAATTCCCACTTTACGCTGTGCATCCACTCGTATACGCGGGTGAAGTATAATTTTTTTATTTAGCTCATAAAATTCATATAAATTACCCGGCCAGAATATAATTTACATTGCTGGAATTCTTACAATGTAGCTGTTTTCAAGATAATGCCCTTCGTGATATATCATTCAGAGAACCCAAAGGCTTTTAAACATGTCAGCAAGGTAAAGGAACAAACAGTGAACATACAGATTAATGTTTACAGTGGAGGTCACGTAGATCATGTGCGCTGAGGTGTTGAACAAGAGACACGTCGTGTAGTAACTCCCTCACAGATGGCGTTATGAGGGGCATCACGTGGAGAAGTAGTTCCCTCACAGGTGGTGTTATGAGGGGCTTGACGTGGTGTAGTAATTCCCTCACAGATGGTGTTATGAGGGGCCTGATGATGTAGTAATTCCCTCACAGATGGTGTATGAGGGGCCTGATGTGGTGTAATAATTCCCTCACAGATGTTGTTATGAGGGGCATCACATGGCGTAGTAATTCCCTCACAGATGGTGTTATGAGGGGCATCACATGGTGTAGTAATTCCCTCACAGATGGTGTTATGAGGGGCATCACGTGGTGTAGTAATTCCCTCACAGATGGTGTTATGAGGAACGTCATATGATGCAGTAGCAACTCATTCACTACGTGGTGTCGTAGCATCATGCGGACACCACGTGGTCTGGTGTCACAGGACCTCACTCACTCAAGTGAGAGAGGTATGGTCCCAGGCCTCCCAATCGTGGACGGATTAACACATAGCTGGTGTTGTGGAGCCTCAGGGGCAATTATCACTGGGTACCTGGGACCTCACTGTGTGAAGGTTAGCTTGGGTAAGACTCAGCTGTTACTGCCGAGTTATTTTTCACTGACTTAAGCACTGTTCACCACTGTTCAACACTGGTTCCATTCCTTTCCTAAATGAAATAGTAACTTCTGGCGAGAACGTGTTGATATTCCGGTGGGGAGGAGGGTTCAGGGAGGGAGTTGGTATGGGCCAACATAATAGTTGACCTGGCTGCTGCCAGAGCAGCGCCAGGTACGTCTTGAGATGGGCACACGGGGCTGGGGGTTTGGTTCCGAGGCAGAGGGCAGATTATTGGCCCTCACCTGTATCTCTATCCACCACAGAGGCTAGCAGGGCCTCCTCGTCAAACCCCTCGAAGTCCATATCCTCACTATCACTGACTTGGGCTGGCTGTGGTGGTTGGCGGGTGAAGAACTCTGTGATGTTTTGTTGACAGCTAGCATTGATGTGGTCGTGATACAGCTGAACATAGGGCTCCAGGGATTGCAACAGAAGGTTATTAGACACTTCGTAGCGATGATTGCCTGTGTCTTTGGCAAGGATGAACTTCATTCTCTCGGCTAACTCGATGACATCCTTCGCATCAGCATGTGTTAGTTTCTGCTCTTGTTGTTCTGTAACACCTCGCTGTTCACTGATGTCATCATCTTCCAACATCTTGTCCGCAGTGAGACTGACACGGCGGTGGTGGAGAGCGTGGGTGGCAAGAATAACTAGAACAATCACAGGGCGCGGCGGAGAGGGTGGGTGGGTGGTAAGGATACGTGGCCCAATCACAGTTTGCAACGTCACCGGCGCGAGTCTGACGTCAGTGCCCTGCACCATACCCCGCCGCTTGCTGCATATATGATGGCATTTACCGCGTAAATAATAATTATCGCTTCTGGACAGGTGCCGCGTAAATGGCCATCCACGTATAAAATATCCGCATAAACCCAGACTATACTGTGTGTGTGTGTGTGTGTGTGCGTGCGTGTGTGTGTGCGCGTGCGTGCGTGTTTTTTTAAACAGCCACATTATCTCTACTAAACACCCACATCATCTAAACTAAACATCAACATCATTTCCACTAAACAGCCACATCATTTCCACTAAACTTGTACATCATATCCACAACAACTTCATTTCTTTTCCACCACACACCTACATAATATCCACTACAACACATCCACTACACAACATGCTATGTATGTATGTACATTGGGTCTTGGGAACCTTCAAGAATCTTCTGGAAGCATCTAGAACCTTTGAAAAGACTTACAGTTGTCCAAGCGGATGGCTCGGCTCATCCATCCATTTCAGATATTGTCCAAGAGGGATGGAAAAGTGTCTGAGGCCAACCCCGTCTAGGAATCAGAGGGTCGAGATAAGAGGGTCTGAGTTGGTGAGAATTCACTGTAGTAAAAGGGTCATTTCAAGCATTTGGAAATTTACATATCTGCATGATAGTAAACATTAGAAAACTGCAAAGTACAATTCTTATATATTGCCACAAATAATACATTAATTGATTTTTTGTTGACACACGCACACACACACAGGTGAAAATTTATGAGAGAATATATTTTATGGAATTTTTTTATCTGACAGTACTAATCAAAATAGTGTACAGTATGCTGTGTAAGGTTTGAACCATAAGTAAATTTTTTTTGAATGACAAATGTCTTCCTTATATTATTATTTTTACAAATACTAATACAAAAATTCTTTTTGTAATAAATTTTTGACTGTTGAAGTTGTTGCATGTGTTGGAGATAGGGCAGGGTTTAACGACACTCCTCGACCTTCTCCTTTGCAGGATCTGGTTTGAATGTTATGCCCACTCCAAGCATGCTGATCCAGCAGAACCCTCAGCTGACCCAGGCCCTCAGTCAAGGTATTCCATTATTTTCAAATACTATTTTTGATACAATAATTTGTCCTCTCTTTGTTTTTACTAATTGATTCCTCAGTCAGAGTACTAGTTAAACTGTTACATTAAACATATGTCCTATAAAGTGGCCTCCTACAGTACAGGTCTCCCTTCAGATACAAATGGGTTAGATTAAAAAAGGGTGAATTTACATATCACAAATAGATTAACAAATGGGAAAAATAGGGTTCTGTTCCCCAATGACAAAAATACCCCAATATTTTACCCCAAAACAAGAAATTGGTTCAAAACCAAGAACAAAACCTACCTGACTAATGATAAATACTTAACACATGAAATTATGACCTAACATGAACAAAATTATAAAATACTGTTTTTCTTTGGTATATTACTTTATGGGAGGACAGTCTGGGCTCATCACCACAAGGGAGTGGGCTCAGTAAGGGCCTTTACTCTGTACTTCTCTCCCCAAGACAGCTGCGCCAGCTGACTTGGCGCATATCTCACAAAAACAAACTTTTTTAACATTCCTTCCACACTATATAAATGATGTTGCTTAGAAATAAAGAAAATATAATGTAAAACTGTAAAATAAGAAAAATAAAGAGCATGGATGTGTATGTGTGAGAAGTGAATGCATGTGGAGGTGGTTTATTATAACTATGTCTCCTACTCGCCAGCCCAGTAGTTGAAAAATCATAACAATACTCTAATTGGCTTAGAAATAAATAGAATATAATGTAAAACTATAAAATAAGAAAATGAAGAGCCTGGGTGTGTATGTATGAGAATTGAACCTGTGTTATAGCCAAGGTTTTGGCTATAACTATATTGCCAACTCGCCAGTCCAGCCACCTCTTATATTATTACATTTATCCTCGATAATCACGGGATCCAATAATCGCTGATCTGACTTATCACAGTATCCTCAATTGCAACCATGTGTTCGCTTATCACTGATTGATCCGAGTTATCGCAGAGTTATCATGGGACAGCAGCAGGTCTGCGAAAGCCAGCGGTAGCAGCGACTGCCAAGAGATGGCAGCACGGCTCATGGCGCCAGCTTCCAGGGAATACAGTGATATCCCCGTTAGCCGAACAATTGGTGCAGAGCACTTCCGGGGATGAGAGATTTCCAAGTGTCTAAACTGTGCATCTTACACAGACAAACACTAGCCCACATCCTCATAATGTTTCTGTGTGCTGGGGAGTTTTCTAAAGTATAAGAGCTGGGGGTTTTCTTACTTATTCTTATCCCTTATATTCTTATTTCATGCTTCTTTCCTTTTCTTATTTCCTTCATTTGTTCTATCTAATTATTTCATTTCATAGTTACTTCATAACCTCTGACCTTTGGTAGCATGGCGAGGGTTAGGACACATGGGTTCTGTAATTCTGGTATCAAGTTATTGGACAAGAATAAAGGTGGATACTGAGGGAAAATGATGCCCCTAACATACTCTTAACATGGTTTATTAATATGAAATTCAATTTGGTTAAAGATGTCATAAACATACAACCACAAGGTTCAACTCCTTGGCTTTACTCATCTGCAATTCCAATTAGATACTCTTGCTTCTTACATCATTACTGGTTGTACATTTCATTAACATACAGCTAAAAGGATCAACTCCTTGGCTTTACTCATCTGCAATTTCAATTAGATACTCTTGCATCTTACATCATTCCTGGTTGTACATTTCAAAGAACACACCACATGACAAACTTACATATGGTACCTTCACTAGAACTGTTGGTAGTACATATGGAGGATGCACTCACAACACATAACACGTTATTACTGATACTCTCAAATTTTATGGGTTCACTACCCAACATGGGATAATTATATTTCGGTTAATTATCCGCAATCATATATAACAATAATACGGTGGCCCATATAACTGTAAGGAGTGCCCCAGGGTATAACACTGGTGTCTCCACACAAATGAAGATCGCTGTTATGGTCAGTTGTAGTCTGACACACGGCGAGAGAGTCTGGGACTAGTTCCCAGGATGCGGACTTGCACAGTTTAATCCTGCCGAATTAGCGACATCATCCAATACCGACATCTGTTATGCAACTATCGATCCCCGGTAGTTGCTGGATATTCAGCTAATGCACACACTGGGCCTGTGACAATTTTGGAGAGCGTCAGAGAAGTAACGTCTCTCCTGCGCACGAGCTTATATACCGCTAACTGGCAACTCAACCTATGCCAGAAATGGCTACTCACACAATGACAGAAATTTTAATTAGATTTACCTCAATTGCTGTACATTTAAATATGAAACTCAGTTGCCACGGGTCAGGCGAATTTCTTAAGTCAATTTACATAATCTAATCAGAGATTGAGTTTGCCAGGAAAAAGTGAAATTACACATGCTGATAACTTCAGTTTCCCAACTGGGCGGGATTTGTAGACAAGGAGCCTCTCATGGATATACGTTGAGATCTTGGAGATTAGGAGTTTGACATGTTCTTCTCATGAGATTAATGACTTTGTTAAATAGACAACTGACAATAACTAAACTACAAACATCAGATTCTCTGATGTTTGGGCAACAAAACAATCTAACTTCACTAGCAATTGGAAACTCATGGCTATCCCCGCGGACGAAAACATGAGATGGCCTTCGTACAGGCAGACTCGACTCACTTACTTGATAAGTGTTACTAACGACAAAGACAGTTGAAGCTTTCAACATCACTCACAAAGGATCTTGAATGCTTTAACTGTAATCAAACATATCTAAGTTGACTCAACACAATGGTGCTTGCTCTCACATTCAAATTTACTTTATAGGGAGATTGGATTCAGGAAGTCTGAGAAAATGGCCGGCGTTTCTTCCTGGGGATACTACATGTTTTGCGGGCATGGAGCATAATATGAATCATCAGGTTTCAAACAGACCGGCAGTCATTGTGACCATGACAAGAGTCTAAACTAAAATCTAAAAATCTATATGATATCTTCGTGAATGAAGCTGTGTGTTAGAGCAAAGACTCGTATTTTCCACTCCCTTGGAGCTGTGGGGGATTAATGGATCTCATGTAACTGACCTGATCTGACATAATGTCAGGTTGAGGGAGGGTGGGTTATTGGTGGTCCCATATTACTGACCTGTTACAATGTCAGGTCACCCACTGTTGTGTGGGAAATTAGTAGGTCCCAGGACCTGAAGATGTCTTGAATAAACATGAAAGCTAAAATACAGTACAGTGGGGTATGCTATAACGAACGGATTCTACTACGAATATTCCTATAACGAACAGTTTTACCTATAAAATTGAGAATGCTAAAACAAACGAAATTCCTACAACGAACGGTAATTTTTTATTTTGTTATTTTATTTATTTTTTTACTAATTTATTGTTTTTTATTACAAGTATTAATGATATTCTTTATTTCAGGAGTTTAGATGCATATTTATGCACTTTTTTTAAATTTTTACAATTTTATATTATATTTTTTAGTGTTAAGTGGTTGTATTTGGGGGCCTGGAACGGATTAATCCTATAACGAACGAATGCTATAACGAACAAGGTTCTAGAACCAATTAGATTCGTTATAGCATACCCCACTGTATTTTTTATACCTACACTTATCACAGTGTATCCCTTCAACATTACATTACATACGATTTTAAAATGTGTAGTGAGAAAGCTGAAAGCTGAGGGTGATTAGAGAGTGGAGTGGAAAGGAGTGATAACATGCACCAGTGTTGCCAAGTACTAAGCTCCTCAACAGCTGATCTTTTAATTCACCACCACATAGTTAACCATGCATAAATTTATGTCATACAGCGTGGGAGTGTTAAGGTGTCTGGGTGTGATGTCGTATTAATTAATAAATAAGCAATACTGTATCATCAATGACAGTCGTTTGATGAATAGTAGAGTACTACAATTGTCACTACTATTCATCAAACTACTGCTCTGTCATAAACAATACGATGTTGTTTATTATTCCTTAATTAATACCCCAACACCACATCATACATAAAATCTTTTGTGTGAGACACTGTGAGTTGGAGGGAGGCAGGGAAGAGTGCAAGGTGCTGGCATGGAGGAGGCGATACACACACCTCCAACACACACTTTCCAACATTTATTATTATGTATTCTCGTATGATCAGCCTCTTATGGTGATGTTTTATCATGGTTAATATAAAATATTAAACACATTTGAAAAATATAACGTAGAATTATTAATTTGACATCAAAATTACATGACAAGTCATTTAATAAGGCAATTTTTTCACCCAGACCTCTCTACTGGGAGGAGGGTAGGTGGCGGGTAAGCTTAGCCATTGCAAAATTTACCAGTTTTTTATTTAATCATTACCGATACATTATAAAAAGTATTGTACTGTATTATATATGAAGGGTACAGGTATTATTAAGCACAGAATATTACAGTGAACATATCTTTATTAGTAAATAAAAAACATGAAGGAAAACATGATATAATTTGTAAAATGAACATCCTCATAAATTACCGACTCATGAATTTTAGGAATAGAATATGAATTATACTGTACAGTATTAAGATTCTGTACAAAACTAGATTTGGGTGTGTACAGTACTGTACTTACTTGAGGGTGTCTTGGTACAGTAATGTGTGGTACACAAACAATGGCCACTGCTATGTGAGGTAGTGTATGGACAGTAGAGCCTCGAATAACGAAGGTAATGTGTCCTCCAATATTGCAGTGTAAGGTGAATCATCATATAATGAATCCTTAATTACCATTAAAATAAAGCAATAATAATTTGATGCATTCCAAGGAAATTTAATGAAAAATAAAAACTACAGCTCCTCCCCGACTTACGACGGGGTTAGGGACCCAAATCCAGGTCGTAAGTCGAAATGGTCGTCGAAAATGCTTAAATAATACATAGAAAATCTAAAATGGGTGTCTCTTTTTCTTCTCAGCACCACAAAACTCTCACTTTTAATCTTGCCAGCCATTTTAAAGTGAATTACAAACGAAAAGTT